CTTCCAGGTGTCTCAATCTGAGCATGTTGACAACCAAGGTTTAACCATTACAGGAGATGAGGAAAGATACCAAACCTTCCTCAATGCCACTCTAAAGGCTAGACTTTCTCTTTATTCTTTTTGCCCTTTGGTGGTACCAGCTGTGGGGGGATGAAGTGTGTAAACATTGAAATCACGGTTGTTTCCCTCTTGTCTATCACACTTACCTGTACATACATTGTGCATGCAATTAATTATAAAATGCACAGCACTTAAGTTGAGTGAAGTCTGTAATAAACATGCTTAAATGCTGTTTCTATGTACTTTTTTTTTTTGGTCAGTCGTGGGGCTTGAACTCTGGGCCTGGGTGCTGTCCCTCAGCTAGTCAGCTCAAGGTAAGAGCTCTACCACTTGAGCTATAGCGCCACTTCCAGTTTTCTGGTGGTTTATTGAAGACAGGAGTCTCACAGTTTTTCCTGCCCGGGCTGGCTTTGAACCGTGCCAATCCTCAGATCTCAGCCTCCTGAGTAGCTAGGATTACAGGCATGAGCCACTGGCGCCTGGCTTCTATGTACTTTTGAACACTAGTGATTCCAGAAACTTTACTAAACAACAATTTAAAAAAATATGCAGACTCCATGGAAGCTTCAAAATAACCAGTTAGAACTTCTAGTTCTTAGCATCTTTGAACAGATGCCTTAATATACCTTCAATATTTTCTTGTAAATGGTATTAAATTGTTTTATCAATTGCTTCTTATTTAATAGCTTTGAAGTTTCCTTTTATATATAGAAAAATAGAATACAACAATGCTATATTGTATTAAAAGACATCTGGATAAGGATACCAAGTTTCCAGCAATTAAAATAAATGATGAAGTATTTAAAAATCCCAAGAAAGCTGGGTGCTAGTAGCTTGCACCTGGTAATCCTAGCTACTCAGAAGGCTGAGATCTAAGGATTGGGGTTTGAACTAGCCCAAGGCAGACAAATTTGAGGAACTCCTATCTCCAATTAACCAGCAAAAATGGAGATGGGCTCAAGTGGTACACTGATAACCTTGAGTGAAAAACCCAAGTGAGAGCATGAGGAACTGACTTCAAGTGCCTATACTGGCATTAAAATGAAATGAACTAAAATAAAAACCTCATGAAAAATGAAGAATCAATCTGTCATATAAGGGCTGTAAGCTGTGGGCTGGTGACTCATACCTGTAATCCTAGCTATTCAGGAGGCTGAGATCTGAGGATCAAGGTTCGAAGCCAGCCCAGACAGGAAAGTCCAAGACTCTTATCTCCAATAAACTACTCAGAAAAAGCTAGACGTAGTACTGTGGCTCAAGCAGTGGAGCACTAGCCTTGAGTTAAGAAGCTCAGGGACAGTGCCCAGGCCCAGAGTTCAAGCCCCAGGACCAGCAAAAAAAAAAAAAAAAGCGGGGGGTGAAGAGGGGGCCCACTCTAAGGCCTGTGGCTCATGGTGGAATTAGCTGTGCTGTCCAATAAGGCTCTGTCTAACAAAGAACCAGTAAATAATTCAGACCTTGCTCCATTAGTATAAGAACATGTTTCTTTTTCTTTAAGCGTGACTGGATTACTACAAGCCCAGAAAGTAGAGTACAGCTGAGTCCCTAGCAGAATAGGAAAATAAATATGGCCACCCAGTAGAAAAGGAATTTCTGAGTATAGAAGTAATGGCTGTAAGGCTTGATAAAGTTTATGTAGGTTGTTGGGGTTTTGTTGTTGTTGTTTTAATGTACAAGGATCCTATACTATTTAAGGAGTTTGAAAGGCTCCAAGAATTCAGCCATATTAAACCACAGTTGTAGTTGAGCTGGAGGTAATTTAACTACATTTGTAATACATGTATAAATGTTTACAGAAAATTGTTGTTTCCTTCTTCCTACAGTCAAAAAACTACTAGGCAGCCCAGGGCCCTGGCACAGGTTTGGAATCCCAGCTACTTAGAAAGTGAAGATAAGGAGTATTGTGGTTTGAGGTCAGCCTTGACAAAAAGACTCCCATATCAGGGTTGGGGTGTGGTTCAGGTAGTTGAGTGCCAGCTTAGTAAAGATTGTAAGTTCAAACCCCAGCATTGTGAAAGAAAAGAAGATAGTACCTGTGTGAGGAAGGTGGCTTAGGAAGCAAGAGGAGTGGTCACAGACAGGGACACAGAGGAAATAAGTACCGAAAGCTGCCAGCCAGGTTTTTCATGCTAGAAAAGAGAGCTACAAATACAGAAAGGGGCAAGGGTAGAAGAATGAGGCACAGAGTTGCAGGGGAAGGGCGATAATGTGCTCATAACATTCAACAGATAGTGACAGAAAAATAGGTGTGTGCATACATGTTAACACTTGGTATTGAGCATGGACCTTAAGGCCTTGGCAAGTGCTCTACCACTGTGCCATGCATGCCTCAATTCTTTTTTTTTTTGGGGGGGGGATGCTGTCAAAAAGGACAATCACCAAAGGGAGACTCTGGAACCACCTTCCACCCTTCAAACTGAGCACAGTCCCTTGCATCTCCAGACAACCACCTTAAACACATCAGACAAAAATGGAGGCATGGTCAAAGCATGTGGTGATTTTTATTAAGAATAACTTTGGTTCTAACAATTCCACCCTTGATTCTGTAATACTTTCCATTAAAAACAATTATACAAGAGCAAATACAAAAAATATTAAATTATGAAAACAAATTCATTAAGGCTCCCTTTATATATAATATATACACTCAAACAAGTCAAGATTTCTTGGAGTAGAAGAATAAAGTCAACTGTTATAGCGTAGAAAGCAACACTACTACAAGGAGGCTATAAAACACTGAACTATTTTACGAAAACCACAGAGTGGAAAAATGGAGCCAGTTTTGACAAAATGTGGCTCAAAGCTTGACACTGCTCAGATGTGCACAAGTCCTCAGAGTTTGGACTGGACAATGTTATGTGTGAGGAGAGACTGACGGCCTTTGTAAACTCCAACTCCTTAGCCCAGCTGCTCAGACAACTTCAGAGAGCTTTCCTATCTGCTCCATCCTGATATCCTGTATAAGCCATCACTTCATGCTATTTACAAGTCTAGTTTGGGCCAGAATCTGTAGTTCTAAGTACAAATAATCCTACAGATCTGAGTGTAGCTGGGCAAGTGTATTTTTTGTTAATTTTTTCCCAGTGTTGAGTGAGCAGAATCGATCCATTCAGAAGAGCCTGGATAGAGCCTCTAAGAATTCTGTCAAGTGGTAGAATTGCTCTGAGAACAACACAGATCTCAAGATTTAATAATATACTGTTAGATCAAAAGTCAAGAGCCAGCCCCAAGCTTCACTTTACAAACCACATCGTTAGTCCACTCACACCCACATGTGCAACCAGAGAGGCTCTGTCAACTCAATCAGTGACAACACTTTCTTCTTTCGAAAGACTGACAACAAAATAGCGATCATCCAAATCTTTGAAAGCACACTAGGACAGAGCAACATTTTATCATAAGCATCCCAGTTTATTCAGAAAATACTTGCTGATGAGACAACCCACACGGGCATAAAAAGCTAACATGTTTCTCTAACTCAGAATGAGTTTCCAGCCATTTCCTTCTATCTTGTTCACATCTGATTGAATGTGGGCCTGTCAGCTACCAGACTAAAGCAATTCCATGGAAAGATCATGTCTACTCTGCTAATTAGGAATCCTGAAGCTCTAGATCTAACTTTTTAGGCATCCTGAAAGGAATGACAAGGAGGTTCCAATGCTAAATTGACTGGTTGAATTTTCTCCAGGAAGAACATATTAAATCCACAAACATTGTCTCATAACAGCAGTATAAAATTAATCCTGCGTGAGAACTCTGTTGTTACTTGTCACTTGGGTGTCTCTGCATGTTGTGCTAGCTAGCACGAGGAAGCAAAGCGGCCCCCATCCTGTCCTCAGCTATTCCTGAGAGATGCACTATAGTAGTCATCAACACAATCCTTACAATAGCATCCCCTTGGGGAGAGGTGCTGAAATTGGCTTTCTTCAAATGAGAAGAGCAAGAGATGGGCAAACATTAATCCGAACTTTTCAAAGCCTGGATTCTAATGGTATTTTTTTTTTGTCAGTTGTGGGGCTTGAACTCTTGGGCTTGGGTGCTGTCCCTGCGCTCTTCAGCTCAAGGCGAGTGCTCTACTGCTTGAGCCACAGCGCCACTTCCGGTTTTCTAGTGGTTTTTTTTTATTGGAGATAAGAGTCTCATGGAGTTGTCTGCCCGGGCTGGCCTTGAACCGTGATCCTTAGATCTCAGCCTCCTGAGTAGCTATGATTACAGGCATGAGCCACCAGCGCCCAGTTCTAATGATATTCTAAATGAGGGAACACTATAAACCCTTCCAAAAGGCCTCCTCCAGACAGATCTTTGTTTTATATTAAAATACCCAAAGAAGTCCTCATCCCCACCTCCTACTAGAAGTCCCCATTCCCTGCTCTCAGAAGATGAGATTCTGGACTCTCTCCTGTACATGCTGGCTTGTACAGAATCATTCCATTCTCTAAGACTGAAGAATTCTTTCATCTCAAAGGAATAGCTAAGCAAGAAACTGAAAAATAAAACTGAACAGAAAACCTATAGGTTGTCAAAGCCATAGATGGGACTGACCTCATGTACCTTTTAGAAGTGGAATGCCACTATGTAGCAAATAGTTAGAGAACCAAAAGCAATTACAAGAAGATCAAATTGGGTGGTACCAGGTTTATAAACTTTCTTACCCCATTTCCAAATTTTAGTGCCAACAAACCTAACAACTGTGCTCAACATGAACATTATCATCCTCTGTTTCTAATCCTAACATGGGTCAAAGGATAAATTAAGCTAGAAAAAAATTGAATTTCTCCAAATAAATTTACAAATATTAGATGCAAAAGAGTGAATGGCATTCATATGTGATCCAAATTATCTAATAGATAACCAGAAGAATTAAACAGGTTTTCTTTAACCTTATAAAGAAACAAGGCTCAATGCCCCACTAAACTTGGATTGGAAAGAAAACCAAACAGTGCAACTCTCAAGACTTTATTCCAGTGTCCACCTCCTTGTTTTCTGTTTCTTTTTTATTTTATTTCATTGTAAAGTCTCTGAACATGGGTCCATTATTCCACCTAATGTGCTGGTCAATGATGTCCTTTATTTGGCCAATGGGTTCTACACCTGTCATATGTAATTTATCCAACCAGATTGTAGGAAGATCCAACCAAGTCCTTTAGACAGTTGAGATTCTCAGCTGGCTGGGTTCTCTCATGGGGCTCTGGCCCTGAAGTGAGAGCCGAGGAGGCAACAAGACCTAGCTCTTGCGGTGACTTGGGGACACGGCAGGTCTCTGAGCAGCCTAGGACTCCTGGGCTTGGGCCACCTCCTGGCCTGTCCTCCTGAGATTGCCTTTCACCTTCACAAACTCTGGGGCATTTTCTTGTTCTTCTTGCAATTTCTGCTTCTCAAGTTCAAGCTGAATAAATTTTAAAAAAACAGGATAATTATTTACAAACCGAGAAACTTTTCAAAACACTTCTGTCTTTCCAATGGAAAGTGGCTCCACATTTACAAAAAAAAAAGAAAAAAAGAAAGAAAATAAATTGGACTAATAAAGGTCTTTGGGTTTAATACTGCAGAGGAGGAATCCGTTGCTTTTTACCACACACAACATCAGAGATGACAAAAATATAAAGTAAATCTCGTAGTCAGGCCACAGTTACTGTGGAGTCTGAGTGTAGCTGTGTGAATTCATTTACACTTCTCTGATTTGTTTTGGCCATCAGCCTTTCTGTAAGGCCCTCGGCAGAATTCTTAACCTCTGCTGTGAATGCAATGTATGCCACCTGTTGCCTTGCTTCTTTTGGTGTATAAGCCTTTCCATCCATCCTGTCTGGGAAACCCCAACTACCCCACAGGCTTCCTCTGCTGTGTCCCAGAGCCCCTACCTGCTCCAACTTCTGCTGCCTCTTTAACAGTTCTAGCTCCAAGTCTGATTTCTTCTTCTGTGCTGCTTCTTCCTTCTGCTTTATTACTTGGTCTCGTTTTCTCTTTTCCATCACCTTCTGCAACTCTGGCTTATTCTGAGGAGCAAGACCCCTGGCCAAAAAAAAAAAAAAGGCATGAACAATGATAAAGAACATTAATGTTAACCTAGGACATTTGGTTCATGGAACTACATGACTATGAGCCTCCTATGAAGCTAATGGTTACTAAGGCAGTGTTCAGAAACCCACTAGCAAGAAGGAAAGGGCAAGAACACCTTCCAAAGAACTAGAAAATTCAAGAAATGTATGCTGACCCCTTACTGTGTGCAATGTAGTATATGCTTCGTCAGCTTCTAACTATGCTAATCAACTCCCTTTGACTAGCTAGCAGTTTGCTGAGTAACTATTAACAATTCCTGAAAATGGGTGCACTGGTTCTATATAAAGTTCAACCCCACACTTTTCTCAACCCCTTTTAAGGTCACACATCACAATGGCATACTAATCCTCAACTTCATGCTTCTTGGGTTATCTAGCTAGCTACATATATATATATATATATATATATATATATATATTTTAATTTTGGCATCTCTCTCACTTAGATATTTTTTTAATTCACAATAAAAGAGAGGCACCAATGGCACATACCTATACTCTATGAGCTACTCAGGAAACTGAGATCTGAGGATAGTGGTTTGAAGCCAGCCCAGATAGGAAAGTCCCTGAAACTTATCTCCAGAAGGGGAGCTGTGGTTCAAGTGATAAAGTATTAACCAGCATTGATCAAAAAAGCTGAAGGACAGCGCCCAACCTTGGAGTCCAAGCCTCATTATACACACTTACACACACACATACTCAAAGTCACAATAAATATTTTCAAAGCTGTTTAAGGAGTGAAGATCAGCATATTCCATCTCTTGTAAGAAAGAACACCTAACATTTGTCTCTGCTTTCCCAATTTTTAGTATCAGAACTTAGGGTTAAAGAAATATTAAAACTGGCTAAACTTCCAGTGAAACAAGGAAGCAAGCCATCTTTATGATTTAATTAGTTTGCTTACAGTTATCTGGAGTGTATAAAGGTACAAAGGTGCAGATAGAATATGCTAGAAATTAAATCTTCACTCCAATAAAAAATGCTTAAAAATATTTTGTTTGACCTGCGCCCCAGTGGCTCACACCTGTAATCCTAGCTACTTAGGAGACTGAGATCTGAGAATCATAGTTCAAAGCCAGCCCGGGCAGAAAAGTCCATAAGACTCTTATCTCCAATAAACCACTAGAAAACCAGAAGTGGTGCTGTGGCTCAAGCGGTAGAGCACTCGCCTTGAGTTGAAGAGCACAGGATAGCACCCAAGCTCCGAGTTCAAGCCCCATGACCGACAAAAACAAAAAACAACAAAAAAAAGAATGTTGTTTGGTGAGTAGCATTATTAACCATAGGGAAATCTTCTTTTAAATAATGTGAACAAAGACTTTCTCAGTTTCATGACTATTAAAAGGCCTTCAGATGTAACTGGAGGTGGAATTAAGAAACTTAAAATTTAGGATTAAGAATTTAGTTATCTAAATATAATTTAAATTTCAGACTTTTTTCTCTTCTAATATTTCACTTGCAAAATGAACTTCAACTATTATTAAATTCATCTGGGTTATTCAAAAGCTACTGAACAAACTTAACTCACACTCCGTTACAAAATACTGATGGGTTTAAATTATTCAATATTCAGTTTCTACTCAAAGATTTTTCGAAATGGTGACAGAAAGATAAACTATCTGGTAGCAAAAAATCCAGGAAAATGGTGCTTTTATGATAAATACTCTACATTTTGGTCAAGAAGTCATGGCCACTTAGTGGGTATGTAATCACAGCAGATCACTAGCTTCCTGTGCTAAATGGGAAAGAAAAGCACAGTCAATCAGCTCTCCATGTTTCCTAAATTAACTACAATCTCATCCTTTGCCTGAGAACAGCGGCTTCAATCAATTCTGACATGTATGTTAACAAGTACTTTCAATCTTTTCGTGACTGACAAGTGAGCAAGTGGGTCCAGGTGGCCTCCTCCTGCAAGACCAATACATTCCCAAGTCTGCTTCCTACTGTGGTGGACAAAGCCAATTTTAAAGACTGTGAAATCAGTAAGTGCTCTCTGAAAAAAGAGAGGTGGGCAATATGTCTATTTATAAACTAAAAAGTGAAAGCACACTAAATCTTTGTCATTAAGCAAATAAATCAAACACCACTTAACATTATACTCTATGCAATGGTGACCCTGAGAATCACCAAGCCCTATCCCCTCCTGCATCCAGAATAAGCCGTGTTCCTCCATATGTCCTCCACCTGTAATAACACGGAGCTTTTCTCACCTGCATACCTGCACCAGTGGGGAGGAACACCAATTGTTCACTACTAAAAACCAGGAGGAAATGGACCTCTGAATATACTTACACCAAACCTTTCTCTTGGTTAAATTCACAGCAGTAGAATTGCTAGGGATGCACGTACAAATTAAATTTTAATGATTCTTACCAAACTTCCCACCAAAAAGGGTGCAGTAATTCTATTCCCACCCACAAGTATGTACAATGTACAACTTAGCAAGGTTTATTTCATGCTACGCACAACCACGAAGCACATTCAGGAGCACAGTGAAAAGCTCACATTCCTCCCATCCCCACATGAACTCCATGTGCACTCAAGGTTGTAAAAACAAAGTCACCTCACCAGAGAGAGCATGCAGCCAGAGGAGGGTCTAGGGCTCAGACTGTCACTTGACACACTCCCCTTCACGCCCAGCCACATCTCTCCTTTGTGTTTAAATTTCAGCCCTGGGTCTCTAATCCTGAAATTTCCTGGTTTGGTTGGTTTCATCTACATTTTTTGTTCAGCCATTTTTATCTGCATAGAGTCAATATAAATACTTGCAGTTATCACTACAGCTTCTCCTATCTTTTTCCATGTTGTACAACAAGTACTTATTGAGAACCCATCTAGTGAAGTACTTAAAAAGATCAGCTGAAGGCCAGGTGCTTGAGGCTCACACCTGTAATCGTAGCTACTTGAGAGGCTGAGATCTGCAGATCATGGTTCAAAGCAGGCAGAAAAATCCATGAGAGTCTCATCTCCAATTAACTACCAAAAAGCCAGAAGTGGAGCTATGCTCAAGTGGTAGAGTGCTAGTCTTAGGAACAAATACTCAGGAAAAGGACATAGACCCTGAGTTCAAGCCAACACACACACACACACACACACACACACACACATACACACACACACACGCACACGCGCGCGCATGCACACACACACACACACACACACGTCAGCTGAAACTGCAGGGAACTAGAAACCACTGACTTAGAAATGGAAAGCTAAAGAACCATTTGAGGAATGTGCTTAAGTAACCATCTCATTTGTGCAAAAAATTAATTCTTTACAGAGGATAGAATTGTCTTAGAAATATTTTTGATTTTAAAAGACCTTTCTAATACTGATCTTTCAACTACAAAAAAAAAAATGATCCCAAGGGAAAATGAAGGAAGAGGTGACATTGTCCAAGAAGCACTATACTCATTACCTGACTTAAGGAATTGCAACCCCTTTGTACAACTCCATAATAATAATAATAGTAATAATAATAAATCAATAACTAAAATGATCCCTTTACAATGCCTTTGAAGATCTGTCCTTTTATGTTACTGAAGAAGAGTATAGAAACAGAGAAATGAACAATCATACCCAGTGCAGAGCCCCAACCAGATAGAAATTATCCAGAAACAGGATGGATCTAAACAATGACAAATACAAGAGGTATTTTATATGGAAGACTTGTGAATATTTGTCCCAGGCAGTAACTTGTTTTTACCTTCTGTTCTTTAAAAAGTAACTAGAAAATCTGTTGGAGCTACTGTTCCAGCCACAGCAAGTTCCACAAGGCAAAGGTGGTTTCCTCCGGCTTGTTTATTTGATCTCATTCTCCCTCCTTCCCTCTCATTTTCTTACCCCTCTTCTAATTTTACTTACCATATTTTTCTCTACAAACTGCCTTCAATCCTATGTTTATTTTTATCCCTAGAAGAACTAAATTTTTTGACTGACAGAAATGATTGGAGACATTTTATGGCAGTTCTCCATATATACTCCAGCCTTTCAAAGCATTGATTCCTTGTCCCAGGAATTCTTCATAAATCCTCATCTCTACCTCTGCTCACAGGACTTTCCTCCCAGCACATAGCAGGATGCTGCTGGATTACTGTTAATTAAACTGAACACAAGTCTGATCATTTTGACTAATGCTTATTAGCTTCTGCTTATCTTGATCACATTATAGAAAAATATGGATTTGGTCTTCTCGTGCTTAAAGCAAAACAGGAATAACTACATTCCTAACAGACCACAGAGTTTGGAAGCAATCCTACCTGTAAAACAATGTGTGTATTTTGTTGGCAGATGATCAGGTGGGGGAGACCTTCCTAGCAGAGAAGCTATTGTCACTCACTGGTTTTCAGTAAAATGAAGGCCCATGATGTCATGAAAGTCTATTCATCTTCTCCAACTATCTTTCCCACAACCCAGTATGTTTTACTACCTTGCAACCATCCTATCTGAGATCAAGAAAACCCAAAGAGGCCAAAGAATCGCCTCAAGATACAGATCATTTTTTATTTTTTGACCAAAAAAAAAAAGGATGGAAACATAAGATCCAAGGTAGCTTAGAGAGAAAAAAAAACATTGTAGTGATATAAATTAGATAAAGGGTGAGGGAAAGAGAGATTAGGGGCATTAGGTTAATACAGAGCAAGCTTTACTTGTACACTTGACCTTTGCTCTCCACAGCTGCACAAAGGCTCCAAAAACCTACCCCAACATTTTACTTGGTTTGCATTATCATTCTTTGGATTTAATGGAAGACCTTTTCTCTTTGGCCTAGAAAGAAGTTGGTGGATGAGTGATCTGTAACCCCAGGAGATCTGAAAAATAGTTCTAAACAAAGCCTACTCATTCTTAATAACTTCACATTTTCTGTTTTCCCAGTCTACTCTGCCCCAGTATCACTTCAATGACACCTGCCAAACAAACAGAAGTGGTCATGGTATAAGAAATCACATAGATTTTTTTTTAAAAGAGAGGCAAGGCAAGTATTTTCCTCCCCTCTAAAAAGTTAGTAAAGACAGTGATGATAGTAATTTAGGAGAATACTTAAAAAAGCAGAAGGAGGGAGAGAAGAGGGGGTGGAGAGGAAAAGATGGGGAGGAAGGAGGGAGAGGAAGGGGAGGAGGAAGAAAAACATTCTTAAATAGACTAGGATGGTACTGGAGACCCCTCCCTGCCATTTACAAATACTTCATTAAGGAAGATTTACATTTGATTCCTTACACTCTCCCCAAATGTAAGGGAAAATGGGAGATGTTTAAATTTAAGCAACATTATATTAAGGCTAGAGGACACTGTCAGCCAGCTCCAGTTCTGCAGCATGCATACATGTTTAAAGGAGTTACTGGGAAACCTTGCTAAGAGCAGCAGCACCTCCATGTTTCATGGAGGGACCTCCTGGCTCAGACTCAAGACACAGTCAAGAAACAAAAGCCTGTGAAAGCCTTGGTAAAGAGAATTAAAATGAAAGGTAGTTACCTGAAAAATCCCTTAAGGAAAAGTATGTTTTATAAACCACTGTACCTTTTTTGATTCATCAGGAGTTCTCTGTGGAGATCTTGATGATTGCGGGAAGTTTTGACAGGATTGATCAGTTTCTGGGGCCTAATTAGTTCAGGATTGTCATCTTCTATGTAGTCTGGCTCTGCCATGATGTTTTTTGAAATGAGATACAAGTCCTTAGGGTCAGTATGCTCGAGTGGCTCTTCTGAAACAGAAAGAGGAGAAACGCTCACTTGCCATCTTTTCTGCCAAGATTTCTCTTGCAATCCTGAGCCCCCAGAGCTCTCTCTGGTCTGGCCCACCAGGACATGCTGTCCTCCTGGGCCCACTTCAGGGACATCACTGCAAATCTTCCCAGGTTTTCATATATTATCTGGGAAGCACAGAAGAAAGAATTAAAGTAGGGCCATGCATCTTGACACTCCAGTCACTTTCTGTCACACCTTAAGCTGCTCATACAGGATGCTCCCTGCCCGCTGTGTCTCAATGGCATTCTTCCTGGGAGCAGCAGGTCACCAACTTGGGGCCTTAACTACTTCCTTCAACCTTGGCAAATAATTATCCCAGACTTCCAGAGCTCAGGGTCTACAGCTGGCCCATGATGCTCCTGTCCTGGGCACATCTCCATTTCTCACTTGAGAGACCTATGGGTTCATCCTGTCCAAGTCCTCAGGCCTGTGCTCAGATGATACCTTCTCAGAGAGGCCTGACCCCCAACAGCCTGCACTTCCTAGTTAGCCATGTTCACTGCTTGCCCACAGCAGTCTCCGGAGGGCAACGTGAACACTGCTCTATCCCCTGCACTGGAACAGAGGAAGAGCCCTTTGGAAGGGGGATTGGAGATGGCACGACTAGGGCTGGAGTGCCTAGACTGAATGCTTCAACCTTTTGGTGCCAGACTCCTTCCTGCCATACCACCAATCATCCATTCTGTGACTCTGTGTGTGTGTGTGTGTGTTCATGTTCTCCAATGAGAGGCCCTCTGGAGAGTAGAGTCTCCTTATTGCTCAGACCCTCTACAGCTATCTAGGCAGAACACACAAACTGGATATGCATAAATACAAGTCCCATTTCATGAACTAGGAGAACTCCAGCAGGACCTCGACAAGAGCAAGGTTGACTGAGCAGCAGGCTGTAGACTGGGGCTGGCAGCCGAACATGAGCACTCTGAACTTCCAGGCACAATCTCTCTGCTGCTCCCTTCCCCTCAAAACAAACCTGGCAAATGTTTCATGACAGTTACCAGGCTATTTATGCTTCCCTGACCCAGTATGGTGACTTCAATTTCCAGAAAGAAAACAGGGTCTGACTGCAGCACAGCATTAGATGTCAGACCATTCCTGGAAAGTCTACAGAACACAATTACCAACTCTGTGGCTAGTTCCATGCTCACTGAAGAAGCAGTGATCAGAAAACACAGAGCATGACCCAGTAGAAGGCATGGGAGAGCGTGCCAGGCCTGAGCCGCTCACCCTGAGCACTGCTCCTTCCCCAATGGTCCCAGAAGCAGAGTAGATGTACATCTATCAAAATATAATGACACGGGATAACCATGGGTTATCTGTCTATTCTCCATAAGCCCGAGGACCACTTTCTTCCCCAGTCCTAAATCCACAACCCTGACAGGACCATGGCCAGGATCAATGCCACCTACATTAACTTGTACCAGGATGAAAGAGAAGCTTATCCTCCTCCACGAACAAGCTCTGAGACCCAAGACTTTACTTCCACCCATTCAGAGATCCACCAAGCAGCACACAGCTAGTGGGAGGGTGGGCCACTTGCTACCAGGGAAGCATGAAAGGAACAGAAAAGCAGAACATGTATGTCAACACATGGCAGGGTGGGTGGGTTGACACTGGGAAAAAATGTTTTCATCTAAAATTAAGAAGAAGCATGTGAAGCAGAAGTCAACTACAATCAAAGCAGGAGTCTGAGTTCAAAGTCATCAATGAGCTCTCCTGAATCCCTGAACTATCCCAGGACTCTGCTGGATGCCAAGGCATCTGATCAGAAACTCTGAACTAAGTGGCAGCCATTGACTGGTACCTCTAAATACAACACATGTGGATTCAGACTATGCTGGACTCTAGTGGCACCCCTATAAAGAGAAGAGCTATTTTCATTTCACAGACATTAAGTTAGAGAAACAAAGTTTAAATACTGTGCCCATTATTTATTTTGCTGGCAGCAATAAGCTAAATTTAAGAATAATGTCCATGTCCTCTGATTTCAAAACTGTCCCTCCCAAACGGTAACCACTAGCATTTTTATGGTAGTATCTTTTGAAAATTAATATGAAAATAAAGAGAAAGGGGCTGGGAAGGTGGCTCAGTGGTACAGCGCTTGCCTTGCATGCATGAGGCCCTGAGTTCGATTCCTCAGCACCACATAAGCAAAAAGAAAAAAGCTGGAAGTGGCGCTGTGGCTCAAGTGGTAGAGCGCTAACCTTGAGCTGAAGAGCTGAGGGACAGCTCCCAGGCCCAGAGTTCAGGACCCACAACCAGACCCCCCCCCCAAAAAGAGAAAAATCTAAAGAATAAGCCAACTAAAATAGAAGAGTTGTAGCAGCATCATTTAATGATAAAATGTCATTAAATGTCTGAAGCATCAAAATTACCAATCAATATAGAAGAATGCCTGCAATTTCAAGCAAATGCAGAAATACCAACCTTGCCCATAGTGAGTCAAGGAACCCATCATAGCCAGCCTGACTTCAGCACGCGCCACTTGAAAACTGAGCCCTTGGTTGAAACTGTCAGTATACCAGACAGGACACACATCTGCAGAGGACTAAAGAGCTACCAGCAGTCCTGTTCTGGTTAATCAGTAGACAAAAGGACGCTAGAGGTTTCCATAAAAGGGCCCATTCCTTTGTTCCAAATTGCTGAATCTCCATGACGTCAAATCAACAGCAGAACACAGCCCAAGGTCAAAGTTACTGTGGGTAGGGTTTGGAATGGATTACAGGAAGGTAGGGCTAGAACTAGGGCACAACTATTATGCACTCCCAGTAACAGAAGGTTTGGGCCAGGAAGGCAGTACTGCAGGTGAGGGGGCTAGGACTTCCTCTTTTGGAAGTCTTGTGGAGTGAGCCGTGCCTAACATGGCCTCCTAGTGAGAGGCAAGACCCTGGAGCACCAGGGGTGGGCTCCAGGGGTCTTCATTGTCACTAGCTTGTCCTGCCCAGCTGCAGTTGGGGTCATGGCAGCCTAAAGCCCACATGGAGCTCAGTGTGATGAACTTAAACTTACATGGACCCAGCAGGCCTCCCAGCAGCAGACCACAGAAGGGAATCAGCCTGCAGCAAGTACTCTCTAACTGTGCTGGCTGGTACAGGAACAGGGGGTCTGGGTTTGGTCACTTAGTGAGTTTCACCCTGGAACCATGACTGGCACCTTTACCCAACAAGTAACCCAACTGCTCCCCTCACCTGCTCTTCTTGTCTGCCTTCCTCTACCAGCCTGGCTTTGCCAGTGCTGCTCCCTCCAGGAGGCATGCTATTCCTCTTCCTACTTTCTCCTTGGATCTCTGCAAAAGCAGGTCTTCCAGATGCATCCTAATCTTTCCTGAGGCCTTCCCTAATTTTCCAAGTGTAATTAAACTCTTTGGCCTTTAAAACTCAGGAATTGTCTTTGCTTCATGTTCCTAGTATTTTTTTTTATTACTGCTTTGTGTTTCAGCAATATGGGCATTGATCTCATCACTATTCACTGCAAAGACTACTTATTGGTGTTATGTCCTGATTGTTACCAAGTAACACAGTCCCGAATTAACTACCAGTAGGGGGAGCCCCTGAGCTATTTGGGAGGTAGCATGCTAAAGATAGGCAAAGTAGGGTTCCTCACTGAGCATCATTAATCCAGAAGTAAAGATGAGACCAAAATGTCTGGGGAAAATGAGTGTCCATATTTATTTTGCTGGTGGCAAAACTCAACTAGGAGCTATTATTAGCCAAACTATTTAACCAACACCACTATATACATTTTTTTTTTAAGATCTGGTAACCTCATATACAAAACTCGATTTCTCTCTATGCTTTCTTTTCTTCTTTTCTTTTCTTAGCTGAATGAGTGAAAGACTTTCTCATTGTTAACATCCAGTAGTTTTAAAAACTTCCTTGTAAGTACTGAAGTCTTTGGATCACACTACAAACACAGCACACTACCCCATTTTGAATGGCTGCAGAAAGGGCACAAGAGTATAGAAAGAAAACAGACAGAGCCTTGTATGCTGTGCCAGGTGTGGGCCAGGGCAGAATTCCCTGAGAGATTTTAAGCAGCTGAATAAAGACAGAATTGCACTTTAAAAGCATGCTGACAGTACACAACCTGATGAGAACTCTGCCTGTGCTTTAACCAGCAGATGGAAGACATCACTAAACTCGAGAAACACAAAATATCAGAAAATCCCATCTGTAACATAAACATAGATTTGGAGTCTTTGCTTTTATATGTTTTTCTTCCTTTCAGCTTATTCTGCACCCACCTCTATGTCCGTGTTAACTGCTTTTCAGAAGTGAACACAACTTTTCACCGAATGCCTTCACAGTTGGTCTGTTGAACAGACATTTCCTGCAACTGAGTTTCCCCATCCTGCTATTTTGGCTCTGTATTTCCACATTACTACATCACATGTCTGTTGCTACATCACACAGATAAAACCTAAAACCTAATCATATGATTTAATAATCGGAATTGAATGCTAATTTTCATGTTTACTTACATAGTAATTCTAAGCAGTAGTACTTCAGAAGCAGTAGTACTTAAATTCTGTTTAAAACAGGCATCTGTTTCATAGTAAAGTTTTCAGGTATAACTATTCCCAGTCTATGCAAACAAAGTTTTTAACTGCTACAACTGGTGGCATAATGGTAAAGGGTTCCAAGCATTCTTCCTGAGAATCTCTTTCCTGGGCTGGCTGTAAGAGATTCTTGAAACCTCTGGCAAGATCCTGATCCCAAGATGCTTAAGACTACAGGCTGGCAAACCCCAGGCCTGGGGTCAGCCTGACAGAAGACAGGCGCTTCTTGGAGCTAGAGTAATGTCTGACTGCACCCAGAGTTTCCAGACAGGCAGCAACAAATAAAGACAAGAATTTTTCCCAAATGGCCTTGTCTTCATCTGACAAATTCTTGACCTGCCTGGCCTTCAGATGAACCTAAAAACTTAGTTTTGGCCAGGAGACAGTGACTTCATCTGGTAC